TGTTCGTATGTGTGTGTGTGTGTTTGTGTGTTAGTTTTGTGTATTTGAGTGTGCGTGTATGTGTGTGTCTGTATGTGTGTGATTGTGTGTGTGTGTGTGTGTCTGTATGTGAGTCTGTGTGTGTGTGTGTGTGTGTTCTTGTGTATATATATACCTGGCTCTTTTAATCCTGTTCTCTGTTGCCAAGGGTTGCGGTCTGACTTTCAACGAGCATGTAGTCGAGCTAAGCATCTCTTTTGCCGCCATCGCACCGGTCATATCAATGCTAGATCTACCATTGACCTCCAGAATCTACACCAATCAAAGCACGCCACCAAAACTTCGATTAATATCAAAGCGAATTGCAGTGTACAACGTTGAAGTCGTTCAGTGCGGAGAAATGATTCGGAAAATCAGAAGCAAACATTGCATTGCTCTGATGGTCGAAGTTAAACAGAAATCACACATTCTAACAAACAAACAAATCCACAAAACTCAAAACGTGCGTCAATAACGGAATATTCAGAGGTCGCACGCTAGATCTCACCTCATCTCCAAAGCGGAGACCAACGGCACTTGCAAGGGTATCCGAGTAGGCACAGAGAACAAACAGTGTATTGGAAGTTCTGAAGACAACCAGGCCATACCTATCAACAGTGAGAAATACATATCGGTCGATAAGCGCATGTCAGTTTGTGAAAACAAAATTACTACAAGCACTCTATATGCCCTGGTAAATGTTCCAACTTCGACACAGACAGTAGAGCAATGATCATTCGGGTAAAGTAGAGATCTGAAATTGAAATATAGAAGCAAACTATTGACAGAATTGCTGTACTGTAGAGGTGCAAGAAATTGTTAGCAAACCATGGACACCTATACATTACAACCTTGTATAAATCTGTAACACACCTTTCAGAAGGCCCTTGCTTAGACAGAACAAGAACCTTTGCAGAACGTTTTCCAACTCGAGGACCATGCTTTGGATCATACGCAGCCGTTTCGTCAATTTCTACTTCATTTGATTCAGTCACCACCTGTAGATTTCACGATACAATGTCAACAAAAGGAAAGGACCCTATATATACATATATATATATATATATATATATATATAATATATATATATAATATATATATATATGTGTGTGTGTGTGTGTGTGTGTGTGTGTGTAGTAGTATTA